TAGTTACACCATCTAGCAGGGTCTAGATCTAATTGATTTTTACTGTGGTAAAACGTCCTTGAAATGTTTAAGAAGCCTCGAATTACCGTGTTTGAGAAAATAGCCGCTGTCACTGCCCCCTCCCATCCACTTGTAAAAAAAAAATCCGCTTTTCGCTTTGTAGGGCGGCTACATCTCTGACATGAGTATTACTAGCGTAGTTACTAGTGAAATTGTTTTTAAAAAAAACAACTTAATTCTGTTATTCCGCGATATGAACTAACTTAAAACTTCCACGATATTTCTTTACGTCATCATGTATATCATAGGTGGGGACATTGGGGTCGTCCATAAATGACGTCACACTCGTAGGGGGAGGGGGGATCCGTAATCGTGTGACGGTGTGTGATGAGGGGATTGGGGGGGGGGGGGGGTCAGATGGTGTGACATCACACTTTTGCATTATTAAAAAGCAATGTTAGAAAACGAATTTTAGCATTTTAGAAAACTGTTTTAATAAATTGTTAAAGGAATTGATTAAAATACTCTATTTTGACAGAGTTCAGACAAGATTTTGGGAAAAAAATCCTATTTTAAGAAAAATTGAACTGCAATCAAGGGGGGGGGGGGGTGTAGGAGGGGTTATAGGCTGAGGTGTGACGTCATTTTAGAGGGCGGGGCCTGGCTTTTTTTGATGTGTGACGGAGGGGGGGGGGGAGAGGTAATAATCTTTTAAAAAGCGTGAGGTCATTTATGACATTAAGCAGGATAATTTCTACAAGCATAGCTAGGTTTTTTTTTTGTTTCTATATGTGTGCAGAGTCCTTTTTAAAGGAATATGTGTGCAGAGTCCTTTTTAAAGGACTATCAGACAGACGAACCAATGCTTCCTTTTATGTATAATGACCTGATTCTGATTATCACTTGACATTGACAAGTCATTCAATTAAAGTTGGGTTTGTTGCTGACTCTCTAATAACGTCTCTAGAAAAAGTAAAAAAAGCAAGTGAGCTTCAAATTCTCAATTTCAAATCTGATTGTAAGACAACTTTGATAGGATTTTCATCAAATTTTTTGCTGAAATCTCCATTACTTTAGTCATTAATGAGAGACTTAGCCTAATGCAAATGTTTAAAAATAGAGCCAGTTCACCAAAAAAATGAAGGGAATTCTTCACATCCTAGTCAACAAATGGAAACTGAAATCAGCTGAGTGTGACCAAGTTCTGTTTCAATTTTCAACATTCATAGATACATGTACTCTAAATGGTTGTCTATCTAAATCTAACTGAGAACATGATAGGCTGGACATTTTTTTCATTGAACAGCTTGGTAGCAAAATTTCTTATGTGAACATTTGGAAAATTGTTAGAGATCTATTGCTTTTGTCACATGGTCAAGCCAGTGTTGAAAGAGGTTTTTCTGAAAATAGAAGTTGGAGGAGTGTCATTTGACACCAAAGATACTGATTGCAAAAGGGATTATGCTGGACTCTCAGACAATCTCCTGACTTAGATAATTTTGTAATAACACCAAAATTATTTCAAAAATTGTGTGTGCAAAAAACATACATCACCCTCATTGTAATGCCCGTTAGTGGTAGTTTATACCTTGAAATTCCCCCCAAAATCACCTTGAAAACCTTGAAAAAGCCTTGAATTTACTTTTGGGATTTGGCTATGGACCCTGTAAGAAAGCCGCTGGGAAACTCTGGTTGGCAAACAGAACAGCATTACTGTCAAGGGGCCGCTTTCCGAACGAAAGTTAAAAAATATTAAAGGCAGAAAACTTTGCAGGAGTCAGAGTTTCTTTCTGGCTTCTCTTCGAGGGGAGAGGCACTGCTTCTCATGTGTGGGGTTGTGGTTGGAAATTTCATGGTCAGTAGAGGTTTGTCTGAATTATTCTAAACGACTTCCCAATGTTTCTTGGCGATTGGATCATTTTGGTATTAATGCATAAAGGACAGGGAGACAGACAAACAAAAGTCTTTAAGTAGCAGCATATTGATTAGAGATAAATAAGATCAACAAACAAATTGTGATTAAGGTTAAAACTAGAAAAACATTGACACATTTTCGATGTAGCTTGTTGTGAAAACACTATCCACAGCTTTTATTTAAAAAATTGGCCAATTGTAATTATGAATGGATGGAATTTCGGTGAGGACAGAGAGTTGAGAGGGGAGGCGGTGCATGTTTGTGGCGGTGGGGTAGAGAGTTTTTGGTGATGCACATAAATTTGCGGGTGCCAGATGCCAATTTCACAAAAGAGTCAATGTTCAAGTTAATTTATAGGCTAATTCTCTCAACGGCTTGCCAGACAATGCAACAATGCCTATAGTGTTATTAATATTGATGGGCCTTGTACAAACCCCCCCCCCCCACCCCCCAGTAAGAAAGGTTTGGGGGCCTTTTTGGATTTTTTAATTACTTCTACAGTAGAAAAGAAACTAGATATCCGTTTCTTTTTTAAATTATTTTTATAATACAAATATTAAAATTCCAATGTAAAAGTTATAAAAATTTAAATAGGGAAAAGGGCCCCTATTTGCCTTGGGCCCCTATGCCTTGCTTATGTGTGCTTCACTGTAGCTCTGCCATTGTTTCTAACCAAAAGCATATATCATATCAGTTTAATAGTTATATTTAGCATTTGCTGACAAAGCTGCTAATCCTAATAGGGAGAAGACATCGGGACATTTTTGCCATTGATACTATCCAATTGTTTTGAACAGGCTCTAAACTATGGGTTAAATTTGGAAACATTTTCAGTATTGGTGGTTTAAACTTTATTCTAAATACATTTATGCAATTCCTCAGCTGCTCATCTAAGACCTTGTTTCATAACATCTGTTCCTGTTTTTACTGGTTACAACATGTCATTTATAAAAGACGAACCGACCCGTGGCGTATCATACGCCGCTATTTAGTTGTTTTGTTTTCTACTTTTCAGTAATTTATAATTTGTGAATTCGACAGTACCAATGCTGCCACTGAAAATATTTGCTTTAAAACACTATCAGTAGCTCGTTAAGGATACCCCCTCCCCTTTCCACCAAACCCTACCCCACCCCCTCCAGTGAAAGCAGCCTCATCTTAGTTACCTCTCCTAAGTTTAAAATAGTTTCAACTAAATTATCTGCCCCTAATAGCCGCCACTAAACCCGGCTCTACGATTGTAAACATTTAGCGCGAGCCACAGCTCACCAGACCATGTAGGGGTGGGGGTGGTAGGGAGCGCGCTTACAGCTTGGTGTTTTCTATCGTCTCCAAGAAGAGAATTATATATATAGATAAAAGTTCTATCATTATTTAACCCTTCTTTTTCGGTCTGTGTTTTAAAAATCCAATATTTCTGTCTACACACCTTATCCCTGATTTACATGGTGTATCTAATTAAGCGGGAGTGATTTCCCCTAAACACCGGCACCAGGTTATTTAGCGCCTCGGAAATTATGAATAATAGTGTTCCTTCTTATTTGACAAGTTGGTCAAAGACTATGAATCAAGGAAACTTGATATGTTTAATGGTTTTCCATGTTTTTTTGTTGTTTTTTGTTCATTTTGCATGTAAACTATTAGTTTGGAATTAACTCCTTTTTATAGCTTAGTCATTCGTCAGGATGCTAAATTTTAATAATTCTTAAAGAGAAGAATTTTTAGTTTTAATTCGCTTGGTAAAAAACTATTTTAATTAGTTTATCGGCACCCCGATTCGACTATTTAAAGGAGAGAATAAGTCATGGAAGTGGTTACTGTAGAACAATCACTGCTGCAATCGATTAGTTTTATTGTTTTTACAAAACACTATTCTATCAAGGTGCAAAAAAAAAAAAAATAGAATTTTTAATAAATAAAAATCTTGTGTCTTGTTCCGCCAACCCATTTTTGTCGAAGTTTGTTCCCCTTTTTCAACAAAATAAATTAATAAAGAAAACTAATGATCAAATTGAAAAAAAAAGAGAAAGGAAAAGCAATTATCTCCCTTGGGCACACGTTTCCATTTCCTAGTTTACTTAAAATATTTTCAAGTTTAAAGTTATTAAAGTATAATCTAACACCAAATCTACTGATAGACAATGTGGACAAGCTAGCTTCTGATTGTTCTTTTTGACAGCTGCTATTGAAGTGTAAATTTAATTTATGCCTTAAATAACCTTTAGAGATAAAAATACAAAAAATTATTACTAAAACGCTAATTTCCACATCTAGATATTAAAGCTAGATTCTAGATCTATATCTATATCTTGTAACTACTAACTTAAAAAGAAGTAACCAGATCTACTCTAGATCTAGGACTTTTATTAGGTAGGTCTTAACAGTACATACAAAGCCCTCAGAATTTGTTGTTCAAACGTCCTAAAACTTTGTAAGGCAAGAATAATCAAATCAATAATGTTATAGCTATGGTTTTTATTAAAAGGGTGGGGGGGGGGGGGGGGGGGGGGGGGGGTTGGGGTCTCAGGTTACTGGTTAACTTTTTTTTAATGCAAATAAACTCCCTTCAAAATAGTAAAATTCAAAATTGGTGCAAATTTTATTACACTTTTGTCTAAAAGATGGGTCTAGCTGCTGGGATGACTGGCATACTTAGCAGGAGTTTAATATTTAAGCGTAGTAGTTTTATATTCATAGTCACCACACAGAATTCAAGTTAAGCCAATGGCATTGGCTAAGTCAGCTTAGAGAGTCCTCCATATTATTGACATAAACCAAAAGCAGGATTTTGTACATTTTGTCTTTTGAGTAGCCATAAACAAATACCTCCACACTGTAGTAATACATACAAATAATACAATTAAGTTTTATAATGACGTTTACTAATACTTCACACAATTTTAAAAATGGGCTGCTAGCACAGATATATATATTTCTGTATTATTGTACTGTTTGTCATATTGATATCTTCTTTATTTGGTTAACAATTTCTCTTTCTTTTCTTTAACTTTGCAGAAATTTTTATTTCAATTTACATATACTTTTTAATTTTACATATGATTGAAGAGAATGTACATTTTATTAGGCTTTAAGGGAAGAGTTAGCACGGCAAAGAACTACAGTGAGCATATTCCCAGATATGGAGAACCTACCTAATCCAAATTATACAAAAGAATTGGAGGAGAAAATTGTCAAGTAAATTTATCATATATTAACACAAAGATGTATTTATCAAAGTAAAACAAAATACTTATGATAAAGGGTTAGCATTTGGTTAAAACTGTACATCTATTTGTTATAGATTACAGACTGAGTGTGCCCATTATAGAATGATAGCAGAGGAAGCTTATAAACATATTCTGGAGATACAAGAAAAGGATATTGTTTCAAAAAGTCAAAACTTGCGCCTTAAAGATTGGATGGAACTGTTAGAGGAGGTAAAACAATGACTGTAATCTGTAAAGATACAAGAAACAAAAGCCTCACGATCTTATAATGATATTTTATATTCCTTAAATGAAACAGAAGTGATTTGTGCATATCAATTTTGTAAAATTACTTATATATATATATATATATATATATATTTATATCTATATTTATGTATATATATGTATATATATATGCATGTATATATATGCATGTATATATATGTATATATATGTATATATATGTGTGTATATATATATATATATATATATATATATATATATACATATATATATATATATACATTGGCCAATGTATGAAAAATGCTCTCAGTGCTAAGCTCTTCGGGCTTTGGCCAAGAGAGCCGGCTAATGCGTGTTGGCCGCACTTCGGGCTTTGACCGTAACATATATATATATGTATATATATATATATATATATATATATATATATATATATATACACACAACAGATAAAAAACAAAGTACCATTAAGGCTGAGCCAGGAGCAAATGCAAAATGAAACTATTAAAAATCTTCAACAAGAACTCAAGAAGGTTTGTTTCTAGCACTTTTCCAATTTGTTTTTGTTGTTTCTTGTTTTGAAAGTACCATCAATTATCTACTAACTTCTTATTACTTATAACTGAGATCCATCTATACTGGCAGTGCTGAGATTCCAGAGTGTTATCAACAGAAAATAAGTTAGATCTACTAAACATCCAGTGTTATCCATTGTATAATGGTCTGTATACTCACACCCTACCCTGGCCCATCTGCACTAGCCACTCTGCATCTGACCCACCTGCAAAACCCCTGCCCTCTTAAAACACCCAATAGTTTTTCTACAGCAAAAAGGTTGTTTTTTTTGTTGTGAAAATTGACTTATTCATTGAATAATACCTCATCTCCCCCAATACTACCCTCTCTAAACAGGTGTTTTTGTCATGTACACTCACCCACATAATTCATTAAACATTATTTATTATAAGCTGTACTGTAGGAAACACTTTATAGAGAACTGCTTTGCATCTGTAGTGTTCTCCTATCCATATGCTATCCATAATCTTAAAAGCATATTACAAGAAAAATTATTGAAAGAATACATTATTATGTAAAAAAAAACACTTAAATTATATATAAAAATGTATGTGATAAGTAATAAAGTTGAATTTCTTTAGTTTATGTTTCACAGTTTTGCATAGAATTCCCCAAAATTTAAACTACTTGCTTGATCATTAATAAAGGCTTATTAAATTGTTTTGTTATTGAAACAAATGAGTGAACAAAAAATTGAAGGAGAAATAATACAGGTGGATTAGTAAATAGAGGTTTTGGATTTACACATGATTTTATGAGCTTGTTTATAATGACATGTTTGTTTTCAGTGTCGTTCACATCTGGAGAGTGATGAAACAATATTTGCTGACAAAACTAGGGAAGTCAATCAGTTGAATGAAACCATTCAAGATTTGGTAATTTCATTTGTGTTGAAGAAAAAATGTTACATAAACGTTGTCAATTTTAATTTATGATTTCAAAATTAACTATTCCTTTATATTTTTGTTTCTTAATTTGTTACATTAAATTTCTACAGTTAAAAATTTTATTTTATTTTTTTAGTCTTTTAAATATATTTTGGGTTTTACATATCAGAGAACTGATGAAATAGCAAACACATATTTTAATTTGGGTTAAAAAACCTTTGACATAATATGTCTGTTAAGTATGATTTTGGTCGTATAATGCTAATATAGGAGACTTCTAGAGGTTTAATTGAAAGTCAGTTGGAAGAGCTGATACAGACATGTAACAAGCAAGCTGAACAGCTGATTGCTCAGCAGATCAGAATAGATGAGTTAGAGTCAGCTATCAAGGTTGGAACTTTCAGTCACTGTGTCATTTTATTGTACTCATTTAGTTTAAAGTTTAGTTTTTGTTTTTATTTTACAAAAAAATATTCAAAACTACTGATTAAGATGTGTCTTTCCATTTTCTAGAACTCTGTAGACCATTCTAGCTGTACTGATGAAACAGCTTCACTTCCTACTTACACTGGTCGAAGACCTAAATCAGTACCAGCTAAAATGTACACCAGCAAGGAGGAGGTAATTATCTGTAGTGATAAATAAACTTGATTAAAATTTGATTTCCTTGATATTGTTTATGGTAAAAATATTGTTATTGGCTGTTTTTTTAATGGCATATGTTATTTTAAAATTATTATAGTTTATTATGGTAAACTTTACAGGTTTAAATTTCGCAGATATAAAATATCACTAAACGCTGATGTCTCCATACTGGATATTAAAATTTTGTCCATATTATGAATAGATGCTAACATATTTTGTATTGCTTTATGAATTTGAAAGGCAAATATGCTTCGACCTCCAAGCCGTCTTATTAAAACAAGCCCAGCACTTTTTACTTTAAATCGTGTAATGCAAAGCTTCAGAGCTCGAAGCCAGTTGTTGATAAGTCGATTGGAAGATTCTGATGAAGTTCTACATCAGACATTTAGTGATGAGGAAGATGAGCAACATGAAGAAAATAATGAAAACTTAAAGTTTGTTTTACTTTTTTACTTTTTGAGAAATATTTTTTTTAATTTGTAAAATATAAAAGAATGTAGTCTTACTAGTTTATGTTATAGCAGTTATTTAAATTTCATCATTTTTATCACCCAATTTCAGAAAAGGTACTCAAATTCAAAGAAGAGACACCTTTAGTATAAACAGAATAAATCAAAACTGTACAAGCAATCGAAGACACAGCAAAGGAAATTTACCAGAAATTGCTGTGTCAAGCAGCCATGGTAAACTTATGTAAAAACAAAAGCTAATGTGTTAGTTCTTTGCTGTTGTTTGAAATGTGAACCAGGGTTTATCTGTCTGCATTCAAAGTTATATTATAATCTGTAGTGTCTAAACAGTTCTCTAACAATTGATAATATGTGTACTATATGTAATTTCTTAATATTAATAATGAAACTTGTTTTTTCCAATGAAGAAAACTAAATTTTGGAAATTATATACATGTATATATTTAGACACACGCACACTCATATATATATATATATATATATATATATATATATATATATATATATATAATCAAATCAATAATGGTTTTTATTAAAAGGGTGGGGGGGGGGGGGTAGGGTCTCAGGTTACTGGTTAACTTTTTTTTTTAATGCAAATAAACTCCCTTCAAAATAGTAAAATTCAAAATTGGTGCAAATTTTATTACACTTTTGTCTAAAAGATGGGTCTAGCTGCTGGGATGACTGGCATACTTAGCAGGAGTTTAATATTTAAGCGTAGTAGTTTTATATTCATAGTCACCACACAGAATTCAAGTTAAGCCAATGGCATTGGCTAAGTCAGCTTAGAGAGTCCTCCATATTATTGACATAAACCAAAAGCAGGATTTTGTACATTTTGTCTTTTGAGTAGCCATAAACAAATACCTCCACACTGTAGAAATACATACAAATAATACAATTAAGTTTTATAATGACGTTTACTAATACTTCACACAATTTTAAAAATGGGCTGCTAGCACAGATATATATATTTCTGTATTATTGTACTGTTTGTCATATATATATATATATATATATATATATATATATGCTGCAGTTCGTTACACTAAAAAAATGAATCGCATTGTTTAACTGAAATTCTTTTAACACAAAAAATATTACAGTCCCCTAAATATTTTATAAAATGATTTTTACTGTACACATGCTCATACTAAAACTTATACATATAAGAAAACTATATATACATTGCAAACACAATACTGCAAGTAAAGCTCAAGTTCAAAGTAGTTTCTTGAGCCAGATTCTTTTATTTATAGCTTAAATTCAGTTAGCATAGTTAATTTTTTATAGTATAGAGAGGATGCTGCTAATTGTCACTTGTGTTAAAATTTGTAGGAAACAACATTAGAGCCAGCACTCATCTTGTTGAGGACATTTCTGAGTTAGCTCGACTCAGCGTTGAGAATGGGCGGTTAATTAATATGGATGTCCAGTCTAGTGCTGAGATTCATAGAAAGCTTATTAAACAATCTCAGCTTAAAGCACTTGAAGCGCACCAAAAGATTCGTGATCTGTCAATTAACATCAGGTAGTTTCACTCACTCTTTTCAAATTTTATGTCATCTGTTTTTATTAAAATGCTAATTGTTCTTAACCTGCTGTACCATAAAACATACTGTTTGCTACTGCTAGGATATCATTTAGATAAAAAATATTTTGGTGGCATACTAATTGCCCATAATTAATTGGCCTGACCTTAAAAAAATTAATATATTTTGTATTATTTTAAAATGTTTTAGTCTTCTTATTTTTGAAAATCACTTTTAATAAATTTAATATCGCCTACTTCATTAATATTTGTCTGATTTAAAAAGACAATTTTAGGCTATTTTATCTTTGTAAATATGTATGTTGAAATTTTAGAATGAAGGAACAGCTGATCCGAGAACTTGTCAAGTCAGAGAAAGATGCAGAGTTAATGAACAAACAGTATGCTGAGAAAATAAAAGGATTAGAAAAGGTGGTAAAAATCTAAGTGATATTTAACATATATATGTCATGTCTTAGGGGTCATCCATAAATGAGGTCACACTCGTAGGGGGGAGCGGGGTCCGTAATTTTGTGATGATGTGTGATGAGGGGGAGGGGGTTCAGATGTTGCGACGTCACACTTTTGAATTATAAAAAATCAATGTTAGAAAACGAATTTTAGACGTTATTTCGCGTTTTAGATAACTGTTTTAATAAATTGTAATAGTTTAGACAACATTTTGGAAAAATATCGATGTTTAAAAAAAATTCAACTGCAATTTTGAGGGGGGTTGTAGGTTGAAGTGTGATGTCATTTTAAGGGGGGGGGGGAGTCTGGCTTTTTGTGACGTGTGACGGAGGGGAGGGGGGGTAAAAATCGGCAAAAAAAGCGTGACGTCATTTACTGATGACCCCTTATTACATGACAAAAGCAATGAATGCAATTAAAATAATGTTTTAAATGCATTGTTTTCTTTTACAATAGGAAAAAGAAACTGCAAAAAAAGAGCTTTTTGAAGTGCAAAAAGCTCTCCAGTCTTTAGAAACTAAAGACAAATCAGAAATTTCAAATATTCAAAAATTAGAAATGTAAGTATCTAAAACAGTCAACATATATTTAGGTCAAGGATATTACCTCTCATAATTTTCCTTCAGGCACTTCCTCCTTGCTGTTACCGTTTTACAATATCAGTTTTAAGGTTATAAAAGTATTTTTAAGGTGCATACTGCATTTTTTATCCTCAGTGGTTTAGATTTTCCTGTTTATTTGTTGATTAATGGTCAGATTAGGGTCTCAGTTTACATGTTTTCAATTATTATTATTTATTCATTTAAATAGTAGTTAACCGTATAGAAAATCATGAACAAAATAAACTGATTGAAACATTTTGTAGAGGCAACCAAAACTGGGCTCTACAATTCTCTTACTTTCAAATCAATAACAATTCTATCAAGCACTGTTAATATTTTTTATTCACCTGCTTCATGTTATAACTAAATAATCATGAACTCTATGTGGTTTATCACTTTTATTTTGATTGGTTCTTAAATGTTATTACAGGGATTACAAAAAGAAGATAGAAGAAGCAAAAGCTAAAGTATCTGCTCTACAGAAAAAGCAGAAGGAAACTGAAAAAGTTGCAAACTTTGCTCATCAGCATGAAAAAAAGTAAGATATCTTTCATATGATTTGACTTATTTCTTTGAGGAAGAAAGGGATGCAGCTACAACTCTACACTGGGCTCAGTTTTGGGCAGCTCATCAGTTGAGTCCACCTAAGCTCAGCAGCTCTTGCTTTTTCTATTGTCCTTCTCCGTGATTGCTTAGGTCAGTCTACTTTCTATTTCCTTGGTTGTTCCAGTCCAACACTTGCCTCACAATGTTGACCACTTCCTTTTTCAGGACATTCCTGAGCCATCTATTTGTGAATGTCTGTAATCTGTTGGTATTTGATTTGGTAACGCTCCAGATCTCTGAGCCGTAAAAAACAATGTGTTGAGGATTCTTATTATGCTCTGGAGTGACAAGGCTGTCTAATTCCAAATCTGGTGTAGTGATGGGAATTTGTATGTCTCTCATGTCTTCTCCTTTTAACTCTTAGGGGTCGTCCATAAATGACATCACACTCATAGGGGGTCGGGGGGGGGGGGGGGGGGTCGGTAATTTTGTGACGATGTGTGATGAGGGGGAGGGTTCAGATGGTGCGATGTCACACTTTTTTCATCATACAAAATGTTAGAAAACTAATTTTAGACTTTATTTTGCGTTTTATAAAACTGTTTTAATAAATTATAATAGGAATTGATTAAAATACTCTATTTTGACAGATTTCAGACAAGAGTTTTGAAAAATATCGATGTTTTAAAAAAATTCAACTGCAATTTTGAGGGGGGTTGTAGCCTGAGGTGTGACATCATTTTTTGGGGGGGTGGCTTTTTGTGACAACGTGTGACGGAGGGGAGGGGGGAAGGTAAAAATCGTCCCTAAAAGTGTGACGTCATTTATGGATGACCCCTTAGGGCAAATCCTGGTTTGTTGCTTTGATTTTTATGACCCCTGTTTTTATTTCTATTTATTTTGAGTCCTACTTTGGATGCTTCTTTAGATAGTCAATTCAATTTGGTTTGGGCATGCTGTTGTTTGTGAGATACTAGGGATAGATCAACAGCAAAATCGAGATACCCCAGCCTTTTGGTGAAGATCCACTCTTATAGAAGTTCAATTTTTTTACTTTCTCGTATACAAGGTATAGAGAAAGTATTGTAATAGTGGAAAATAAAAATATGAGTCGGAAAAACATAGTTTTGCAATCTTGTCCGTATGTCTGTGTATGTGTGTGTGTGTGTCTGTCTGTAAACACGATAACATTTTGCTTGCAGCTTGCTTGGTGCGCAATTCTTTTTTCTACTAGATTCTATTCTATTTTAAAAAGTTTATGTAATTAAAAATCATGCCTAGATCTATATCCCGAGTTGCCATCCCCCGTAGTGTTATATAAGAATATTTGAGAAAGTTCAGGGGAGATCACTCTCGGTTTATTTAAAAATCATACATCAAGAAATATTTTTCTTGGTCTGTTTTATTCTTTAAATTTAAAGAATTAAAAAATAATTAAAATTATTTTTTTAATACTTTAACCAAAACATCAGAATCCAGGACTTGGAGCTGGCAATAGAAAGAATGAAACAACAACAGGAATCACTTCAAAAAAAGCTGAAAGAAGAAACTGATCAAAAAGCTAAGTTAGAGGCAAGTAATTGATATACTGTACAGTAAAGCTTAATGAAATTTCAGATTTTTAGTTATTCAAACCTGCTTTGCATTATTAATTTTACGTTTTAAACATAAAAGTAAAGGCTAAACAAGAAACAAAATTAAAAACAAAATGTACAACCACCATGTTAAACATATGCTTTATTGATTTATTATCTTAGTGAACAAAACCTTTTGAAATTAAATAGTTTAAAATTTGGCATGGTTGTAAATTGGACCCATCAATTTTTCAGGACAATAGGATTATAATTTTTCTTGGCAATAGGAAGGTGTGGTTCATGACTACAAAATAACTTTTAATTCAATAAAGTAGTCAACAAAGTAAAGAAAATATATTGTGATTCTTGGTTAATATCAGATTAAATCGGTAAGCAATGCCCTACTGTAAGTAGGCATTTGAAGTAAGATACCTAATGGTAAATAGGGAGATGTTCATCTGCTTCACCGCAGCATCTGAAAGGATCATAAATTATCTTACCAGCTGACTACTTTCATTGGCTTAAATCATAATGTATCCTACGGACTCAAAGTAATTTTAACTTAAAGAAGTACACAGGAGAATAAGTTGAAAATTACAACTTTTCAACTTGATTGCGTTTTAATGTATTTGAGTTAATCAAATTTGTAACAGAAAAAGAAGAACTTCTTGACCAAAGGTGAACTTTTTCAGTCACTGGCCATGAAAGGATCACTAATGGAATTGGTTTTTTTGAGAATCTACCTAGTATAATCAATATAAGGAAACTAAGATGGTATGGGCATGTCACATGAGCCAATGCCCTTTCCAAAACAATAATGCCTGGGAAGAGAAGAAGGGGGAATTAAAGACTTCTCATTGGATGTAGGACATGAAAGATTTTCCATTACAGAACTACTCAGAGCAGCAGAGGACTGAGACAGATGGCAGAAGATGATGAGAAAATCAACTGGTGCACCACTTACCACAATAGGGATTAATGGACAATTCATTGAAAACATAGTCTAACCAACATATCTTTGCCCTGTTTCAAACTCTTTATATTATGTATTTACTAAATTACTAAAATTGTACTGGTCACTAATATATGTTAGAGATCTCATGAGAGATCAAAGCTTTTATATAAAAAAAGCAAGTTTGTTTTATTTTCTTACTTACAGTGCATTTAAAGATTTAAAAGTGCACCTTCCCTTGATCCTCATCACTTCTATGAAGTATCTCTTAGTTATTTAAATTTGTTGGTTAAGAAAGATAATTTAATTTTAAAGAAGCATTCATGTATTTATTTTAATTCTCCTTAGCATTCAGTTTTACTGTTTCATATATTCTTGATATTTTTAAATACGTTTTTATTTAGTTGGTAACGTCTGTCTGTTAGTGGGACATGTCAAAACTTGTAACTTAATGTTGACCCACTTCTAATGCAACAATATCATTCAAACTTTCCAGAAACCATCATCTCAGGTGTAAATGCAAGAATATCTATTTTTTAAAATCTTGTTAGACATTAGTTCGGTCATTGAAATATAATTTAAAAATTACAAATTTCAATATCCGACTGAACTGTGATATTTTTTTTTGCTTGAGGATCGACCACAGAGTAAGACTAAGAGTGACAGATAATAGTCTATTAGAGATTGAAAGCTACCGATCAGGCTTAAAGCAAATATTTCTAGCCATAGCCTATGTAGTGTCAACTTTATTTAGAAAGATTTACTAAAAAGTGGAAAATCAGACAAATATAAAAAACCATTTATAAAAATCTTTTAAATGCTCTGAAAATAAGAAAATAAACCTAATTTGCTTTCTTTATTGGTCGCTGAAATACATAAGAGATCTCACAATGATCTCTTATTTATCTTTATTTTACTTTTTTTTTTCTTTCGTCACAAGAATTCCTTCTGGTTTGTTTTTCAAGATTTAGGTTTTACTTTGTTATCCTTAAACCCTTGATTTAATTCTAATTGTTGTTTCTACTAAAAATGTTAGTAAAAGCTCCCATTTTCATCCTGTACACTTTTTTTGACTAGAATATTGAAGCATATTGATGTGAACTATTTACTGTTATTCTGAGGGCAATATTAGGGCTTCTCCTTCTAAATTCTTGCTGTCTTTATTGCTATAGAAAATTTATCTTATTGTGTGACTAGCTGCAATGCATGAACCCTTCAAGCTAGTTTTATATTGGCCCAGCACCTTTATCTTCATCTTGTCCATTTATTTCTTTTACCTGTTGGACTTCCCATAATTTTTTGGGTCTTGATACTCCAAGGTCCATAATTGAGGAGTAAATAATGTTTTTTTTTGTTTTGATAACTTTCTCAGACTTTCAACAGCATACATCATATTTTTCTCCATGGAAGCATCATATTGGTTTTCATTCATCTTATTTTGTGAATTAGCATAGCCAACAGTTTTTATTTGGGTTGGCCTAAAAGTAAAATACCTTTTAAACCTGATCGGTCGATGTAGCAGGTTCACCTGTTTCAGTGACCTCTGCATTTGAATGGATAATATTGTCAGCAGAATGCCAAAGCTGCCTTTCCTTCCCCTAACATGAGTCAAGTATCCAACAGAGCTGGGTGGGCTCATCAACATCCTTGAGACTCGAGCCCAGACTCAGAACATGGGACTTTTGAGTTACCAGTCATTTTCTGTACCATATGACCATGCCCTCTCTCAATTTGATTTATTAATTAATTAAATTACTTGAGATTGTATTATTAAAATAACATTGTTTTTGCTTTGAAATTTCTAGAAAGAAATGCAGCGTGAAGTGCAAAGAGTTAAAGACCTTGAAATTCGAGATGAGCAAAATCAAAAAGTACTCAAAAGGAAAACAGAAGAGCTTGCATCTGCAAAAAGACGCCTCCGTTCTGCATCAGGTGTTCTGCCTCCAATCACTAGGTTTGAAAAACTATTGGCAAATTTTCATCATATTATGAAATGCCTACAAATTATATCTCAAAATTTTTTTATATCTAATTCTGCTTATAGTGTTCAAAGATTAACAAAGTAATTAAAAGTAAATATGTGGTCTAATTCTTTAACAGTGAGGAACAGGAGAAGTTGGAAGAGCAAAGAAAATGGATTGATACTGAAGTAGAAAAAGTATTAGAACAAAGGCGAAAAAATGATGAGCTTGATCAGGTCTGTGGAGTAAAGTTTCTATAAACTACTTTAAACACCTAAGCTGGCTTTTAGAGTTTTGCTAAAAACATTAGCTTGCATCCAAAACTATCATTAAACAAGTTAATAAAAAGTCTAGTGACAATTTAAGCGCAATTTCCTTATGTTATCCATAACAATTTTAAATCGAGATAAATCATAGCTCCTCCTCCTTCGCCTGTGTCTCGCGCAGTTCGCTGCTTAGCCAGCCAGGTCACATGATTTACTCTCCTTTCCTTCGCCTTCCACTGCCTTCTTTGCTATATAGTACTGTAATGTATTATGTATAATGTAATTTTAAATAATGCGGACGTGTAGGGGGTGTTTAGTTGTCGCACTTTTAAAAAAAAATTTGTGACCGAACAAAAGGATATTTTTGAAAACTTTCTTCAGCAATATTGTTCTAAATTATCGCAGCAATCGATTGGTAAATGTTTCAAGTTGCTAAGTGGTCTGGTTGCAGAGATATGGGCAAAAAACTGCATTTTTTTTTAGGTTTTTTGGCTTTTCCGGGAAATCCAGGAAGGAAACCTGGGAATTTTTTTGACCTATGTTCATCCTCGGAACTTGCTTAACATTTTTGCTTTTGGAACTAGTCCTCGATATTGCTTCGTTGAGGAGGAGATACGACTTAAAGACGACTTAAAGCTGCGGACACACATCCATACATCCATCCATCCATCCATTCCCAGAAATGACAAGTTAATAAACGCAATTCTCCAGAATGGAAATTGTGCTAAAAAAATTAAAATTATGTTCAGTTTTAAAAAGAATTGTATCCACTCATGTATCCCATCCTCCTGTCCTAAGACCTCATTAATTTTGGTTCATCTAAAAGATGAATCTAAATTTGGATTGGTATACCTACACATTTGTATTAACTAGAGGCATCTGGGTGTTGGTGTGGATAAACTTAGCCCAACAACTAGGACACAAGAAATATAACACCAGCATTATTTACATTTACCTAACTGACATTTAGAAAACAAGGTCATATGTCTAAAAATACACTATTGGTAATGCATTAATGAAATCCTCTAAAAATGTTGCGTCAGCCTTTCTACTGAGTTGGCAGCAACATGAGATTGATATTCTAGATCTAGTAAACAAAAAAAATTTATATTCCAACACAATTGTTTTTCTGCACCTTGATAGTGGTTTTGTAAAAAAAAAAACCAGAAACTGCAGCCTTGATTGTTTTAGAGTCACTAACCCAAGCTGTTGAATAAAAAAAATTACTGTAGTGTGAAAGGTAGGCAAGCATTCATCAAAGTACTTTCATGGCGTATTACTCTTTTTTTGAATAGTCTAATAGCAGGGCTCGTAACACTACTTTAAAAAGTCAAATAAGGTCTCAGAATACACCTTAATTAATAGAACAGTGTGACCCATAACCCTAATTTAACAGATAAACATAAAACTTATTTACATAGTCAAATACATGGCACATAACACTCAATTTCATAGTCCAATATGGAAGAGGGGGGAATAAAGCTTCTTAAAATAAAAAAAAGTCCATATTCCTTTAATATCTATATATATTTAATATCAGCATATTTATAACAGTTATGCCATCTATATATTCTTGGAGACAATATAAAACACCAAGCTGTATGCGCGCCTACCACGCCCACCCCCACATGGTCTGGTGAGCTGTGGTTCATGCTAAATGTTTACAATTGTAGAGCCGGGTTAATTGACAGCTATTAGGGGCAGATAATTTAGTTTGAAACGATTTTAAACATAGGGGAGGTAACTAAGAGGAGGCTGCTTTCACAGGGGGGGTAGAGGGTAGGGGTTGGGGGAAAGGAGGGGGGGTTATTGTCCTTAACGACCTACTGATAGTGTTTTGAAGCAAATATTTTCAGTGTCGAATTCACAAATTATGAATTACTGAAAAGTAGAAAATAAAACAACTAAATAGCGGCGTATGATATGCCACGGGTCGGCTCGTTAGTTAATAACATAATAATCTTCCTGCTGCTCAAAATGTAAAAACAAAGTTTAAATTTAAAATTGTATAAATGTTTAGACATATTTGTATCATGGAAATGTTATAGTTGTAACTTAAAGTAATGTGAAATAATTTCAAGTTAGATATAGATGAAATAAGCCAATTATTATACAGCATTAGCCGTCCTGGCCAGGCCTGCACTAGCCTAAAAAAAACCTATCTGTTAAGGACCATGAGTTTTGTGTTTATTAAGCAGCATATACCTGGTATGAGAAAATAACACATAACCCTAAACCTAACTCTAAATCTAGACTCAAAGGCAGACTTATAAAGTTTTTTCCTATCATTAAATCATAGAGCTTATACCAAAAAGTTAAAAGCTCTTGGTTGGAAGAAAAAAGCATTTGGAGGACACATAATTTGCTAAATCAGTATGAATTGTTGATATTTTGGCATTTGTATTAATATTGATCACTGGACATGTGTTCTGAAAATATGAATGACATGCAGCAGCTTTTATGTTACATATCAGAAAGTACAATAAGGCCAAGCACATCCTACTTATACATGTTAGATCTGGAAGATCCACACCCTAATGCGGGGGTCTCCAAATTATGGCTCGCGGGCTGGATGTGGCCCTCGAGTTCCTCTCATCTGGCCCGCGGAGATCTTTTTGTCCACGGTAAAAAAATTGTTTGTTAGAGGTGGCCAAGGAACTTTGCCCAGAAAATTCAAAGCAATTTGAAAAAGTAGCTTTGGGTGCAAAATCCATGGCCCACCATGTTGCAGACATTGGTGAAAGCATTGTGACTCAAATAGCAAAATATGTTAGCAAGTTTTGCCATTTTTCAATTGCAATGGATGAGTCGCTGGATAGCTGTTCCACCTCTCAACTGCTTGTGTTCATTAGACGTGTGCATGAAGACATGAACATAAAACAAGAGCTGGCTTCCCTACATAATATATATGGCACTGTTACCGGAGAGGATATATTCAATGAGTTAAAAAAACATTTGCTAATTATAACTTGGACTATACTAACCTCAGTTAGATGGAGAAAAGTACACGAGTGGCATAAAGAAAGGCTTGGTTGGACAAGTGAATGAGAAAAACATTCTACAACAAATGTTCCTGCACTGTATTATTCACCAGCTAACTTTGTGTGCTAAATATATAGCCATTTGCAGTGTACTGAATCCTGTGGTGAAGATGGTGAATTTAATAAGGTTAAATGGGCTTACCCATAGAGAGTTCAGAGACATGGTGAAAGATACAAACACAGAATTGCAAGATTTACCATATTACACAGCAGTAAGATGGCTAAGTTGTGAGAAAGTTCTGAGCAGAGTATTTAAGTTTAGAAAAGAAATAGGTGACTCCCTGGAAAGTTAAGGCAAGCTACAGCCATTAATGTCTGATGAAGAGTGGGTATAGAAACTGGCTTCTGCTGCAGACATAACTAGTCATTTTAATTTTCTGAACCTAAAACTACAAGAGAGGGAAATCTAGTTTCTGATCTCTACACCCACCTAAAGACCTTCATATCCAAACTTGTCATGTATTTGGAACAAGTACAGGCTAGCTACTTGACTCTGTTTTAGTAGTGCAAGGTCTTCATGGCTGAAGCAACAGCTGTTCCCCACGTCATTTCCATGTGAGATCATCAAAGACCCCCAGCTGCAGTTTTAGCAGTGGTTTTCAGAAATGGATTCAAAGACAGAAGTGAGACAGTTTCAAAACCCATTTGAAGCAAATGTGGCCAGTTGCCCAGATGAACTGCAGCTGGAGGTCATTGAATTGCAAGCAAATGACCTCCTTAGAGACTAGTTCAAAGAAGGGCGGGTGGATTTTTATAAGTTTTTGCCCAAGGAAGACTTTCCTAATATTAAAACTTTTGCATGAAACTACCTTTCAAATTTTGGAACAACATACTTGTGTGAACAAACATTTTCAAGAATGAAATATGTGAAGAACAATTTGAGAACAAACTTGGACTTAAGTGAGTTGTCTGCCCCCAACAGTGTTTCTTTCAGAATTTTTCTCGGGGGGGGGGGGGGGGCAACTTGAAACTTGTATAACATACATGTGTGAACAAACATTTTCAAGAATGAAATACGTGAAGAACAATTTGAGAACAAACTTGGACTTAAGTGAGTTGTCTGCCTCCAACAGTGTTTCTTTCAGAATTTTTCTCGGGGGGGGGGGGGGCAACTTGAAACTTGTATATATTTCTATATAAATTATATTTTGTGAGGGGGGGTGGACGTTCTTTGGGAGGGGAGTGGGGGCTTCACCACTCAAAGAGATGCATGAAAGAAACGGGCCCTCGAACTGATATTTAATAGTTAATGTGGCCCTCTGGCTGAAATGTTTGGAGACCCCTGCCCTAGTGGATAATGAATGTGAACAAGATTGACATTAAAATGCAAGCATCCATTGCTTTGACCATCCAAGCTTTATATTTATAGACAGATATTCATCTAAGAGAGAGTTTTTCCAAAAGTAAAAATATTCAGCAACATGATGGATAACTGGTCAAAACCACCAATTTTATCAGACTAAATATTGTTTAAGACTCAAACAAAGACTACTTGCAAGAGATAGCACATAATATTTAACTTAAAATTGATGTTCCTTAATTTATAACATTATAGACAAGTTAGAACAGTAAAATTGCACAATTTATTTTGTATGTATGGTTTACTTTTTAAAAACAACATATTTTTATTGTTATAGTAGATGTATATAAAATAGGCACCTCAGGTTGGGGGCTTTTATTAAAATTTGTCTTATGCACAGGGAGTAATTGACATGGGGTAATGTCTGCAGCACTTAATCGCTAAAATTGCTTATTTCCTTAACAGGAGTTAAAGAGAAGAGAATCTATAATTGCCAAAAAAGAATCTATAATTTCTGAAAAGATTGAACTGGAAATGAGAAAAATGAGAACAAGTCAAGCTTTTAACAAAGTATTTTTTGTTGTTGTAATTATTTTGTCTACTTGTTTTAACCTAAAATTATTAGAATAAAAACCTCTTTCCACTAATAAATAAATTATCTGCGACTAATATCCTTTAGAAATAAAACAAAAATAACAGGTTAAAATTTTTTTATAACCTGCATTTGTATAAGTATTTATTAAATTAACACATTTCAGAATTTGCTCACATTATCAACAAAACTGGAGACAGTAGAGAGAAAACTCGAAGAAAAGAAGAAAGAATTACCAGAAGTGACGGAGGATAGAAAGATGCAAGTAAAAGAAGAAATTTTAAAGTTACGTCAGACAAGAGACAAGTTAAACAAACAAAGGTCATTAATTGATGACAAACTGAAGGAGGGAAAAATTTTGTCTGTGGAGGAAGAAAGAAGGCCAGTTGTTTTTTTATCACGTGTAGAAGTAATATTTGAGAAAGAAAAATACATTTAAATTATTGTAGAAATAAAACATTAAAAAACTATTTACTTTTATAAGGATGGCTGTGGAATAGTTTAAATTAAGATATAATTAAAACAAGATTGTACTTAATTGTTAAAGCACTTAAGGAGAGTGTGCTAGATAATGCAAAATAATTTTACCATTTGATATGAGAGTTCCTACTGTTGCTAATCACTTGGGTGGCATGGGTAGGAACCTAAGCCTTTATTGTCAATTTTTCTTTGATTTAATGTTCCCACCCAGCAAGTGGGCAAAGGGAAATCTCAAAGCACACAAATGGCTCTAAATGATTGGGAATTTTTTACATTTGGTTTAATTATTTATTTATTTATTATTCATACATATGAGGTTCGTGCCAGATAGAAACCACCTCATAATTATTAATATAACTCTTATTCAGATTAAATGAATCACAGTTTTTGTTTTGAAAGTTTGTTTCCCTGTCAAAACATACATGGAATATCCACACTAATGGAATGTGTACACAAGGGACGTGCTACAGCTAGTGTTTTAAGTAAAATCTGGATAGAAATTAAACTATATTCCTCCTTGTTTACTCACCTACCCTTTCCCCCACCCCCTCTTATGTAGTTGATATTAACAACCTAATTTAAGACTGAATGCTGTTTTTAGGTTGATTGAGATGGATGAAGCTATTGAAGCTCTAGATGCAGCCATCCAGTACAAAGATGAAAATATTCATGTAAGACAGATGGAAGTCAGACAGTCATTGCAAGCTTTAGCACAGGTTAACATTCTCATAATTTTGTTTTTTTTTAGTCAGAAATTACTTTTTATTAGTTGTTTATTTAAATTTTGTGCTATTTTTAAGAGGAATTTAGCTTATCTGTTTATGTATTTTTGTCTTTATCAGGTGAAAAGAATGAAAAAATAAAATGAATTAAAATATTTCTAAACTATAACCTATATGTTTATGTATTTTGTGTAAAAATATTGTCTACATGGAAATAAACTACGTATTCATAAAAATAAAAGGTTTGAACCAAAAAATACATTTTTTTAGAGTGAAGAAAGCTTAATATTGAGGCTGAATTCATTGACAGCTGTTGAGATCAGATTACTTCTTTCACGGTATTTTGACAAGGTTGTTGGTTTAAGGGATGAAGAAAGAAAACTTAATCTAAAATGCAGTGAAATGGAGGTACTTGTTAATTTTTTATAGAAAAATAATTTTAGCTGTATGGTTTGTTTATTAATTTATTTTACATATAGATCATGGCATATATCCTGTTTTATTAGGTAAAAAGTGATGAGCAAGAAAGATTGATTAGAGAATTAGAAGGAGCTTTACAGCGCTCAACATTAGAGCTTGATAGGAAATTAACACAGCAACAGAGAGAATATGAACAGAAGATTCAATTGTTGATGCATCAGCTGACAGAGCTAGGAGGTGATCCAAATGGTGGGGATAAGGATATATCTAAAGATAAGTAAGTCAAGCCAGTCTTTTCTTTTTTGTAAAATATTATATCTAACAAATTTTGCAACTTACATTCTAGTCAATATTAAAAATAATTGTGTACAAATATTCAAACAGGATTCAGAATCTGGAAAAAGATTTGTACTATTATAAGAAGACAGCTAGAGATCTCAGAAAAAAAATTAAAGATCTTCTTACTAGTGGTGGTATATCTCCTAGAGGTAATATTTTACATTTGACTGTAATATTTTTTTCTTCTTCCGTTTTAATGTATATTCAAAAAAATGTTTTAGAATCCTTTAAACTTTTAAAACAAAATCTTGTTTGTACGTTTAATATGTTAAATTCACACACTTAACTCCCTTGTATATATATATATATATACATATTCATAATTATCTACCTGTTTATACACAATATACACAAATCGTTATCTTCTAGGCTTTGCTCCATCCAATAATAGCCCTATCTAAATTTAAATGAAAACTAAAACATCTATATGTGCTGAAATAAAAAAAAATTAAACAACTATTCATAAAACCAAACTCAATTTAATAACACAGACACTTTAATTTGATTCAAAAATGTAACCTATCTACAGATCACCTGGAATTCCTCAATATTAATACTAATATAATAAGCCTCACATCATAGTATGAGTTACATCATTATACAGCAGTATATCTGGCTAATTTTTTGCATGCACCTCAGCAAATGGCCAGGCCATATGAAAAAACTGTCTGTCAGACGCTAAGCCCTCGAGGGCTAAAAAATATCGCAAGTGAACTTCTACTTGTATGAGCTATATTACGAAAAATCTAAATTTGCTGAATGACACCCCCCCCCCTTTCCTGATATTTTTGTGGTATCGTAGACCAACCCTGGAGGGTAGCAAAAACACTTTTTGACCGGAAAATACCCTTAAGGCCGTTATATTTGTCCAGATGCCGTATTTTCTCACTTCCCTCCCAATTGTTCCTATGCTACAGAATATTGTGTAATATTTACTTACATTCTTTAATAGACTATAGTTTGAAAGGTACTGAAAACATTTTAAGAAAAGGGACGCTACTCTAAATCTATGCATATACTTAAATTAAAATGTAACAATTCTAACATACTGGCCAGAACCCTTCGTAATAGTGAGGTAGAACATCTCAGTGACCACCCAGGTGTCAAGGGCATCACGAGACGCTGTTGGGAGCATCCAGTTACACTGATAGGTGCTTCCCCTGGTTTGGTTTACTCATTGAATGTAATAGTTGATTGTTTCCCTATTATAGGGTGGTCTTAAAAACATATGTTGGCACCATAGTCACAGGAGAGTCCCAGGTGCTCCAGGCCACCGGGCGCTGGAGCAGTTTGACAGTTGAATGAAGTAGTACCCTGTCCCCTGTATACGACGCCCAGTCAACAGATTCCAGGTGATAAGATGGTACTTTGGGAACTCTGGGCTCAAAATGCACTCTACTTCCTGGGGAGTCACCTCTTGAAAATTATTTTTTATTGAAGTACCATTCCCTTGGAGCATTCTCAATAACTTCCAAAAGTTTCACACAGACATATTTTCATACATGAATATACTAGCATACCCATCCCATGAGTTACCGCCCATATGCACATTCCACACATTGGTATTTAAATCTAGCATTTCTCTTGGCGTACAGTGCAGGTCAAACAGACAATGGAATACACACATTTATTTTCAATTGGACAACTACGCTTGGCCTTAGGGCTGGCGCTACCTATAAGGCGAACTAGGTGGTCGCCTAAGGCGCTATCCAAAGGTGGGGGCAAAAATGTGTGATCGCCATTATTAAAAGTACCTTATATTTAATAACTGATTATATTATATAAACTATAGACAGGCTAATATACAAAGATGTAGCGATCTATTTCGGCGCCCAGGGCGAACTATAAATTTTTGTGCACCCTCTTCAAATTAGGCCAATATAATTCAATATATGGTATTCGCGTTGGTGAAAATGCGCCCCCCCTCCCCTAAAATGGACATGTAGGGGCGCTTTTTACTAATCACTTTGCCTTTATATTTTGGTGTCACACAATTGATGCAGCCATCTATATTCTTCATTTAGACTATATAATTCAGTAATGAGCTTTTTATATTATCTACCAAACTAAATTATTTGTTGGTACTTCAAGATCCTAAACAGAATTTCAAAGTAGAAATCTTCTATACTAACTTGGATATGGGCTTACAGTCTTTGAAAGAGAGGTTCCAACAATTAGGACAACATAATATTCTATTTGGCTATCTTTATGATGTATCCAATATCAATAAAAAGACACCTGCGGATTTACTTACGACTGCAATCAATTAGAAACTTCATTAATGCATCATGCTAATAAAGTTATTGATGCTGATGAACTTTTCAACGAGCCTCAATTCCTAAGCAGGTGTTAAGATTAGATGTCCTCTACATAGAACAACCAAAATTTGTAAGATTGTGTACCAAATGTTGCTTCCTTAACACTTACAGGGGCGGAATTACTATAACACCACACCCCGCAATATGGGGGGGGGGGGGGGGAATGGGGGTGAGACGACGCAGGCCATTTAGGGGAGGGGGAACAAAATCAGACACAAAAATATTTTTCTGCACCTTGAAAAGACAAGTGGTTTTGTGAAAACAAAAAAAATAGACTGCAGCAGTGATTGTTCTACAGTAACTAACACATACTGTTGCGTAGAGAATAAATTGTAGTATTTAAAATAAGCAAACCTTAAACCACTTCCATGACAATATTCATAATTTTTGGCTGGCATAAATGAGTTATTTTAAACCAGATTATTTCAGACGAGAAATGAGTTTCAGCCTATCTCTGTGTGGTTTGTTGTCTTATGGTGGGTATACTTTGCAATGAAAAAGGTTACATAGTTTGATTTAAAAATTTAGTGAGACAGTCTAATTATATATATATATATATATATATATATATATATATATATATATATATATATATATATATATATATATATATATATATATATATATATATATGGGGGCCCGAAAGAATTTGCAGGGGGAAGGGGGGGGGGGGGCATTTTAATAAGTTTTGCCTAGGGCGCTATATAATCTGGCGCCGGCACTGCTTGGCCTACATTACAGTTCACAGGTGAAACAGACAATGGAATACATACATTTATTTTAAATTGGACAACTACGCTTGGCCTATGGCACAGGTCAAGCAGAAAATCTTATATGTGTATTTCTTTTCAATTGGACACTTGTGCTAGATTAAGATTAAAAATAATTAAATGTTGCTCAAGATTCAGAAATTTAATTTTTTTCAGAACACAAATTAATTAGTCCAAATTTTCCACTGATATTTTCAGTTAAATATTATTAAAAATAGGGAAAAGTAATCTTAAATGTTGCCGTTTTTTAAACGAAACATACACCTGCAAAGCCTGGTTTTTTACTTTGTCTTGTTTGTGGAAGAAAAAATACCATACCGACTATTTTAATAACTACCTACAGCTATTCCTGAAGTATAAATAACAATGTGGCTTGGCTATCAAAATGGTTAATCTATCTATCCATCCATCTATCTATCTATCTATCTATCTATCTATCTATCTATCTATCTATCTATCTATCTATCTATCTATCTATCTATCTATCTATCTATCTATCTATCTATCCATCCATCCATCCATCCATCCATCCATCCATCCATCCATCCATCCATCCATCCATCCATCCATCCATCCATCCATATATATATATATATATATATATATATATATATATATATATATATATATATATATATATATATATATATATATATATATATATATATATATATATATATATATATATATAAAGCAATGTATGTGTGTGTATATGTGTTTCTGTATGTCTGCATGTCTGTCTTTTATGCCTTACTACACCTTTCATGAAACTTTGGTAAGTTGTTGAGAATACTCCTTGGGAAGTTTCTGCAAAAAACCATGAAACTTTGGGGAGATAATTAGTACCCTACAGGGAGGGTTTCTGTAAAAAATATTTTTTAATTTTGTACGGGTGGCGCCCCGGGAGGGTGCAATTTTTCTTTATATATGGTTAATAAAATAAATAAAAGTTGGATGAGGTTCGACACCGTTCATCCGAATGCCATAAAATTTTGGGGAGTTGATGAGAATACTCCTGAGAAGGTTTCTGTGAAGAAAATAATAAAAATTTGGCGCCGCCCGCGAGGGTGTGATTTTTGTCAATAGCCCCCAGAGTTCCAGAGCGGCTGTGTTAGCACTTTGCATCCATTAATCGTGCGTCCTGCATGGCGGGTAAGGTGTACTACTATATACAGCATTAAAACTTCAACAAGCGCCAGTATATTGCACGACCCGAAGCGCCCTGGGAGCACTATGGCCCTTACGTTCGTTTAAAAAAAGGTCATACAAAAATCATTGACTATATCGAACTAGGCGTGTCCCTTGGCACCTCTGCAGGGTTCGATTTGGCACCCTGGGCTTTCCTGTGAGTGCAATGGCACCTAAGTTAGATCTAAACAGTGCGGTGGACAATGGATAAGATGGGGCCTCAGAGTCGCTCACTAAATTGAATCAGGCGTGTCCGCCGGCGCCCTGTAAAGATGCGATTTGGCTGCAAACAAAAATTTCAGTTTCGGTTCCTAAAGTCTCACATGGGCCGCTAAGGGCCCTGTAAGAAAAAAAATTTGAATAGTCAGATACATTTTTTTTCCTTTTGTCCATAAAAAAATCCAAACAATTGCAAAGCCTACAGTTCTCGAAAAAATGAAAATATTTCAATAAGCGTCTATTTTTAGATGATCCAATCAGAAACTGAGATCGAGAATCTAATAATACAAAATTAGTAACGCTAACAAATTGCATCAGTCACACTAATGTTTATAATTTTTTTTTCAACGTGTTAAAGAAAAATCCTGTTTATGCAATCTGCATCATTGTTTAGCACTCTAGGTTATATTGTGAGCACTATGGCGCCTACATTAGTTTAGTGCAGGGGTCTCCAAACTACGGCCCGCGGGCCGGATGCGGCCCGCGAGGTCCTCTTATCCGGCCCGCGGAGATCTTTTTGTCCACGGAATAAACATTTATTTGTGATGGCTGAGAAATTTTCTCAGAAAAATCACGACATGCCTGGAAGAAACTGGCCCCCGAACTGAAATTTAATATTTAATGCGGCCCTCGGACTGAAAAGTTTGGAGACCC